GGGGTTATGAGGAGTAGGATCGAATCCGTCTTGGCCCAACTCGTCCGTCCCCCCCCCCTCACATTCGAAATGTTTATTAACCTCAGATACGGCGTTGTATAGAATAAACTTGCAGATAAATGTTTGTTGGGGGGAGGGGTGGGATAAATGTTTGTTGGGGGGAGGGGTGGGATAAATGTTTGTTGAGGGAGGGGGCGGGATGATAGGACGTGGAAAGGTACCATAACATGATGTGCGCGTGAGTGTCGGGTCACCGTGTGCACGTGCTTGAGTGAGCGACGCCGATACACCCAGCAGAAGACAATCAATACGTGGTCAGGTGTGACGTCTTAAAGGGCCTGAAGACGTCTCTACCTGGAGACCTGACAGACAGGGAAACCTACACCCTGCGCGTCTGTCATCCAACACTGTGCGTCTGTCATCCAGCTTAAAGGCGAAATAACAAACAGATTCCTGGCGAGTGTAGGCGGGAAGAATGGCAAGCAAGCTTTGTGTGTTGGTGTGGGGAGGAGGTGGGGGTGATGGAGGAAGATTCTAGTAACAAACTCAGGGAAGGTAGCAACAATGTGGCATTGTGGGGTATGTCACTCTTGTATGTGGTTGTGTGGGGTATGTCAATATTTTATGTGGTATTGTGGGATATGTCAATATTTTATGTGGTATTGTGGGATACGTCAATATTTTATGTGGTATTGTGGGATATGTCAATCTTTTATGTGGTTGTGTGGGGTATGTCAATCTTTTATGTGGTTGTGTGGGATATGTCAATCTTGTATGTGGTTGTGTGGGGTATGTCAATCTTTTATGTGGTTGTGTGGTTTATCATTCTTTTATGTGTATGTGTGGTTTGTCAAAGTTATAAGAGCATGTAAACTTTGCCAGTTAATTGAACTTTAGTTTGCCTGCTTTATAAATGTGCCAATGTTGATGTTTAGACCACTTATCTTTTGAAACCATGTCATGTTTACATAATTATAATTGTTTAATCCATTTTTATTTTCCAAATGAGAACATTAATTAAAAACCGTGTTCATTTGTGGGGGTTTTTTTTCGCGAATAATTTCAGGCAGAGAATAAGTGTATAGAGTAGCCTCCCCGTACGTCTTGGTGCAGATGTTGCCGAGAGCAGCGCTTAATGTCACCTTATAGGATGTCTACCGTGTTGTCTGGCACACGTGTCCTGCAGGTGGGCGCTGGAAATGTTGGCCTGGACACTCCACCAGCCTCGGGGTGTACGTGGTCGGACATTTGGCTGACAGTCGGACATTTGGCTGACAGAGAGGTGCGGTGTTGCTGTAGTGTGGGAGAGGGGAGGTGTTGCTGTAGTGTGGGAGAGGAGAGGTGTTGCTGTAGTGTGGGAGTGTGGGAGAGTAGCGGTGTTGCTGTAGTGTGGAGGAAGATCACTGTCGCTTAGCATAAAAAAAACAAGTTGAGACTGCACACACGACTAAAGTGCCAATACCACGGAAACGTTGTACAGCATAAAATTACTCCGCAACTTAAAAATAAACCATAGCACAACATAGAATCAATTAAATAAGGAAAATGTTTATATTTTCCCAGGCTGCTTCATTTAAAATTTTTGGAACCCATTTTTATGTTACATATTTTTACCTCAATTTTTTAAAACTCATTTTTTAAATTGTCATCAATAAAGTTCAAATGTCCCAAATATCATTCATGTAGTTGAAAAAAATCAAATTTACAATTATAACAGGATAGCGCTGTTTTATTATTGCATTATTGATTTTTTTTTCTTTTAAAGGTACACAACTCCCACTCGCGAAGTTTGGTAACGAGGTTTGCGCCTATTAGCTTCGCCTCCAGGAAACCATTGGCGCGTTCGCGGTACCGAACAGAAGCTAAAAAACGCTCCTAAATGGACGGCGATTGATATACAAACACCCTATTTGCATTTTTGATCACTTCAGCCTCGATGGCGCGAAGTTTTTTTTAAACCTGAGTCAGTTTTGATGATGAAAGTGGTGAAACGAATATCGCTTTGGTTAATGGTTTAAGCCGATTAGAGGGTTTTCTTTTAATAGCTTACCGCGAGGGAAAGGACTTGCTGGGGATGTGAGTTAGGGATTATGTTTTCGTGTACGTGGCCAGACGTCGTGGTGTGTACGGTAGGTGTGTACGGTAGGTGTGTACGGTAGGTGTGTACGGTAGGTGTGTACATTAAGTGTGTTCGGTAGGTGTGTACGGTAGGTGTGTACGGTAGGTGTGTACGGTAGGTGTGTACGGTAGGTGTGTACATTAAGTGTGTTCGGTAGGTGTGTACGATAGGTGTGTACGGTAGGTGTGTACGGTAGGTGTGTACGGTAGGTGTGTACGGTAGGTGTGTACGGTAGGTGTGTACGGTAGGTGTGTACGGTAGGTGTGTACGTTAGGTGTGTACGTTAGGTGTGTACATTAGGTGTGTATGTTAGGTGTGTACGGTAGGTGTGTACGTTAGGTGTGTACGTTAGGTGTGTACATTAGGTGTGTACTGTAGTGAGCCAGAAATGTACGCGTGGGTTTACTGTGTATGATTATGGGGTTGTTTACAAACGTGTACACTATGACACCCGTGTACTAATTCTGTACAATGTGTACTACGTGATGTGGGACACATTACACAATAAACCCAACACACTGGGTGTAATCTAAGCTGGACCAATGACCTGCCCCACACTGTAAGGTCACTGACCAGGTACCAGGAAAACGCCCACTGCCCAGCCACCGTTGATCTGTTGTATGATACATATTGATCCGACCTGTCTAAGGTCGGTGAACTATTGATTTTATGATAATCTTATTGACCGATTCTTTTTCATTGTTTACAGTAGGGATGTTCTTTAACAACCAGGATTCTCCCGTAAGGGAAAAAAAACGGTTCCAAAATGTCTATTTATGGATCCTCTATTTCATACATTTTTTATGTCAAGATTGTAGGCACACGATTCTAGACACAAAACTCTAAACACACGTGCTTATGCAAAACTATTCGTCACGTGACTTTGCAAACAAGCGCCGGTTTGACCGGCGTCCGGTCAGGGTTTAACGGACACTCAGCTATCATGAGAAGCCCTCCAATCGATGGTTGACATTTATGGTCCTGCTATTGACTAGAACTCAGTGTTAACTACATGAAAACATCGTAAAACAATCGCCCGACTCAAGTCATCATAATACGCGCTAGATGGCCCGGACTGGAGGCTATTTAATAACCGCTGACTCCGCTCAACCGGACTGGCCAATACGCGGTACGGTATGATCAGTCGCGTGGTTCTAAAATCTACTCACGTCAGTACACAATATGGCGGACCTATGTGAGTATGTGATTCTTTAGTGTACTCACACCAGCACACACCACGGAGGTTCGCTGAAAAAAAAATCTAGCACGGAGTTTTCTACGTTGGACGTGAGAGTTCGTGTTTTATTTCTAGCTCGCAGCTCATGCGAGAGTGTAGGGGTGGTCTATGCGTGTGAGTGGTCTCAACACTGTGATGACGCGAGTATCCCATCACTGTGAGCCAAATTAATGCCCAAAGAGTGTAAAGGCTACACTATTAACACTAAATAATTATTTTTTTAAAATATCGGTTTAAATATGTCAAATTTAAAAAATTGTGTATTCTACAAGTGAAAAAACTAGACCACAGTTGAGTAGAGGTCTCCCAAGCACGCAGAGGTGGATACAAAATGGCCGGCACGTTTTGTAAACAACCATCTTCCTCTGGTTTTCTCGTCAAAGCCCGCGGCAACCCGCGGCAACCCGCTGCCGTCCGAATGGGCAGAGAGTAACAACATCATCCCGCGGGCCGCTGCCAGTAAAACAATTCCGTTCCTCCAGCGTCGACCGACCAGAACGGCCTAACAAGTTTTCCCGTCAGACGCGGGACCTGCACGCCGAAAACACATTGGCTGAGATCCACAGAGGGGCTTAGCTGTCTTATTCCAGGGGAGAGCGCGTTAAAGCAACAAGCTAGGCAAATAAACAGTACGTTTTTTCAACCGTTTGCCTCTATTACTGAAACACACATCGGATACATTCACTGGCGCCTAGAGCTGCCCGGCTATTCACCGTTTACCTATTTCTTAAGCCTACACTTTTATAACATGTAAAAACTAAGATGTTTAAATTGTAACATTCATATTCTGGTTTTTCAACCATAAAAATGAAATCTTTAATAATGAATTATACATTATTTATAAACAAATATTATATTTTTTAAGTTGTATTCGCGATTTATTAAATTAGTAGCTGTTAACACAATTTGTTTTTGGTATAACATTCTTTTCCTGCTCGACACTTGTTTTCAAAACGAGGCTACTGTATGAGTTTTAAACTAAAAACTAAAAACAATAAATTCCCTCGTTTTTAAAACGAAATCCAATTTAATCTTCTGAATCCAGATTTGCTTTTCTTCAAAACATTCCCCGGCTTACATCAAAGAATGATAATTGAAAGAGAATTTTTATTAATTTCTTTTTTCGAATTTGAACAAAAACAAAAATCTCCGTGTGGTATTTTTGTAACGGTCGCGTCGGTTGAGGGTTGACCGAAAAATCAAAGAAAGAAAAATAGAAGAAATATTCCGTTGATGCCAGAAATCTCGGAGGGTTCTCTAAAGTGACATTTACGACGGTTCTCAAAAATGGCAAGGCGCCGGACAGTCCATGTTTAAAAAAAAAAAAACGACAGACAATAGACAAGGATAAAAACTTCTAACTAGGCTTTGTGTTCCGTTGTTTTACTATTTCATTGTAAAAGAATTGTGTTGGTAACTTTTGGAAGCTGGTGTTGTAATGATGTGGTGTGAAGTTGTAACTCTGATGGGTTGCTGTCGGTGTGTGATGTTGTGATTGTTTGAAGTTGTAATCACGAGATGTTTTGATGATTCCGTGGTGAGATGTTGTAGAAACGAGATGTTGAGATGATGAAGTGTGATGACAGTGTGTGTGTGTGTGTGCGTGTTTGTGTGTGTATGTTGAGGGCGGGTAAATCCACTGACCTGACTCGCTGTTGTTCTCCGCGTTGTGTGCCGAGTTGGCGTTGGTTTGACTGGCGGGGATGGGAGTGTCCCCCGACCGGGAGGACTGGGTGTCGTCCTGCTGGCTGAAGTTTAGACTTTGTGAAGGGGGGCGCTGTGGAGGGTACAGGACACGTCATTGGTCATTGGGACAAGTTGGGTTATTGATATACATCTTTATAGATATATATATATATATATATATATATATATATATATATATATATATATATATATATATATATATATATATATATATATATATATATATCTATATATATAGATATATATATATATATATATATATATATATATATATATATATATATATATATATATATATATATATATATAATGATATAGAGAGAGGGAGAGAGAGATACACATACAGAAATATTGTGTACTATCTGTGCGAGCATTTAATGAGATGCTAATTATAAACATTTTTGGGCCTGTTTGGACTATCGATTGTAGCCATCACCTGGACAACGAGTGGTCACAGCAAACAAGAAACATACTCAAGACTTCCGGAAAGCAGACAGCATAAAGGCGGCTCCCCTCCCTCCCTATACCCCCACTACCCCCATCTCGCGGTTTTTAACAAATTTTCTGGCATCAAGTAGTCTCGCTTGTCAAAAAACAAACCGGAAATATTTCTGACAGTAAATAAATAAATCAGCGATGTTAATTTTGTTGACCAAAGCTGTCCAGCTTTGACCGGCCTGTCTGGGAACAAATAGCCGGCAAATCTCCAGTAGGGGTGGGAGAGAGGCCGTTGTAAGGCCGGACGTCGAGTCAACAATACAAAGGCTATCACCTTTTGAAGCGAGATGTTTTAAAGTGTTGTTTAAAAAAAAGGAAGGGGGTTGCCCGGTTTAGAATTAAAAATCTCGCCGTGAAAACTGTCAAACTCATTCCTATTTTTCTCAGCACTCAGCCAAAATCTGAATTGGGCAAATGTCATATCAAGTCCCTGCCGGCCGTGGGTTTGACTGACAGGAGAAAGCGAAATTTGAGATGACACCCCACAATCACCGAGTGGCTGGGGTCCTCCACCAGATCAAGCCCCGGCCCCCAAAAAACAGTGGCCGTACCCTGAAGACAATGGCGCGGCGAGGATTCCACCCTACAATTTGTGTCCCGTTTTATCGTAACGGCACTTCAGAGACCATCGACCGGGGGTGGGGGAGGGGTGGGGTGCAGATCTGAAAGTTCCATGCTGGTAACGATAGAGTTTAAGGAATTGCATCGTGTTTGTTACATCCAAACTTTGATTGCTGATAACGAACATCTAAAATCGGAACACCACAAAAATAAAATACAGAATAGTTTAAGAGAAGTTAACATGAAGCGTACAAGTATGGTCAGTGGTAGAGGCAACACAGCACAGAAGATAAACTAGAGTAGTGTACTCTTTGTGATGTTTTTTTTATACAGTACATCCCCTAAAAGACGTACTGTTCTCCGGAAAGACTCTCACCATTTAAATGTAACAAGCGTCCATTATTTCAGAAATTGCTAGATTAAAATGTTATTTTATTGCTACCACTTCCAGCTGACTCTCCCCCCCTTTACACACACACACACACACACACACACACACACACACACAAACATACACACTCCAGTGGCAAAGCTTTGTGTCAAATAAGATTCTTATGAGTCTAAGAAAAATAAACTCACGTCCAAATCTCGTGGATTCACACTGCGACATGGGATCAGCCCGAAGTGGCCGGTCAATAGTCAAGGAACCCCAGCGTCGCGGGATCGAGTCCCAATTGTTCCACGCGTGGGCGGGGTTGTGCCATGGATGAGGGCGCAATAAAACGGTAATACGGTCTCGTTGAAAGCGCGAGACAAGAACCTTAACTCCTGCAGATGGAGCCCCAATTCAAGTCACGGGGCTCGAGACTTCGCATTGTACTGGCGCGGTAGTTAGCTTAACATTCTACACACCATTAGGTCGCGGTCACACTCGGTTGACTTTTAGAAAGCACCAAGGAAGTGGCCGTGGTCTTTTCAATGTAAAAAAAACACGAGAGGGAGGGGAGTTGAAGGGACGGACGTGGTGTGGGGGTGGGGGAGGATACCGTGCAGGGAGGGACACTTTTGTCACCTTTCACAAACCTCGGCGATCAATAGAACTCACTCTTGGCGCGCCAGGACGCTAGGAGCGCTCACAAAGGCCGGCCTCTGCTTCACAAAGTCCCACGCTGTTTGTACCATTTATAAATCGCATCTATTCCGAGTTTCAGATTTCAAGGTTCGAATCGATCGTCGACCCCCCAATAGCAGCAAGAGTTTTAATGTAGGAACGGTGTATGGCTGGCTGTCTTTTGGCTGCAGCTAGCGTGTAGCAATTGTTGAGGCTAAGCGCCTGCTAACACACAAAATTAGCTAGGGATTATTTTTATGTGATCACCGGATGGTAGATTTGTTGGATAACTACACGCTTTCATCACGGTTTCATTCATATCACTATACTGTATACATCAATTCTTTTGAAAATTTTAAAATTACACATTACAAAACTATACTTTATAAAACTTTACTATATAGAAAAATTTATAAAATTATACTTTTTAAGATATTCACGCAAATTTAAACACCTGCTTGATATGCAGCAGACCTATGAATATGTTCACCTAAACTTGTACGTGTAAGCTTAGGTCGTGGCTTGAATGAGGCGTCGTGTCATGTCATTAGAGTACAGGACATAACCGGTGCGCTGACGAGACTGACCAATGGCCATCCGTGCTGCAGACCAGTCAGCTTGTGGCAGACGTCAATAGGCGCCATTCATCATCTGCGAGCAGACTATCGATCTAGTCCCACCAGGAACGTCTCCATGAATCGGGAATCTCCCAATCACAACAGGCGCACACTGAACGATCCTGATCTGACAGGGGACAGTACCCTGCCAAAGTTTCTTCAAGCTCATCACAGACAGGGGGACGCTGAACTGACGTATACACAGATCGGTGACGTAGCACACAGGAAAGCACAAACATTCTAACAAATTATACTAGATCTAGTTATCATTTCAAACTTGTTTTAATGTTTTGATTAACTTAGGTTTAAAATTATTTTTGCTATTTTAATAGCATTTTAATACATGTTTGGGTTAGTTCTAAGTTGTGCGAAAAAAAAGACAATAAAACCTCCCGGCCAGACGTGTTGGCTATTCTATCCCTAGGCCCTGCAATTAGAAACTTTGATTATAAGAGGGAGATAAGCGGGGGGCTCGTCCAACCGTGACGTCATCAAGTGCAAATATTCCCGGACAGATGGGAGATCGGACTGACTTTTCTTGTACATTTTTTAACGCACGGACCGTCAAATGAGGGAGTGGGGGTGGAGGGGCGTCCGTAGCCGTGTTAGAACCGTGACGTTTGCCGGTTATCTCCGGCATAATCTGAGTACCGGTCGCCGCGAAAAGTGAAATAAAAAATGTGTGTTATTTCTCAGCCATACCTAGAGTTAGTGAAGCCAAAAGTGGGGCCTTTGTCGCGGCGAGAACTTGTTTATGTAGAGTGGAGTCCCCTTTGTTAACATTCGCGGATTTATTGTCATTAAGCGCGTTGGAGTAAGAATACATTTTGTTGACAAATGCACAAACACTGCCGACAATCGCACAGATGGATCAGAGATGGGAATTTTACGCTTGTTGAATAGGCGCAATCTTTTTTTTTTCAGGAAATAAAAAAAGGGAGAGAACTTTTTAAAACCCGAGATGATTTATCGCCCCTTGGAGCTCGGGAGAACAAAATAAGAGTAGCCTCTGGTTGAAAGAGTCCATCTATCTGTAGATGGGCGGGAATGACACGGGAGGGGACGGGTTGGGTTTCAACCACACAGCGATGAAATGAACACCCCAAAACACATCCCACGTTCCGCGCTTTCAGGGAATTCCCGTGTAGATTGTGGAGGGGAAAAAAAAAAGATGAACACAAGTTCCGATAACTCCAGTCACGAGATGGAACAAGGGGCCATAACTCCAGTTTCAAACATCTACTTCTTCCTGTTTCACTTTAGGAAATGTATCCCTTTGAAATGTCGACACTTGTTGCCTACTGGCCATTGGTCTATCACACGTGACATTTGTCAGTGTTTAAATCACGCGCGTCCATGTCAGGTAAAACATGTAGGATGATCTCCCTGTCTTCAAGCTCTGGCAATTACACCAGGAATGTGTACGTTGTTGAGGGGGGGGGGGGTGGTACAAGTATCACACTGCTTGTTATAAGTTGAGATATCAGAATGACATGATATACAATATAACTGTGACCTTGTTTGCAGTGAGTACACACGTGAATGCTACAAGTGCTGGGATAAACAATTTATTCTCGGGCTCGTATATGGAACATTAAGGTGCAGGGGAGGGGGGATGGTGGCAAGAACACAGGCAAGCATGTCGTATTTCTTCACCTTCATTCACCCTCCCTCCCCCGCCCTGTTGAATACCATGTTGCTAACCGAATCAAAATTAATCAAGCATGTCTAATCGCTCATGAAAACCAATCACACCCCGACCGTGCCCACCGTGCAGGCAGGCACCATCTGCAGCAAATCTACGTCGGCGCCCCACCTCCGTACATCACGGACTCCTGAAGTCTGCAACACCCCCCGCCCGTCACGCTTGACGGGGTCCAAGTCTTATCCTGGATATCCCATCCATCTTATCCTTATTGCTCGCGTGTCTCGCTAGCTTCCTTCTAGCCGATAGATGCACGGCCGTGCATGATTTAAAGACCGTCTCGACACAAGACAAAAGCCGGGCTGGAACTTGTATTGAAAGGCAATGCGACAAGTTCCACAGTTTCAGGAACAAGAATGATTTAATGACCGCCGGCGACAGAGACGGCTTATTCTCCCACTCGCCTACAGCCGTGATCTTTTGGCCGGAACCACTCGTGCGAGACGAGCACCCTTCATTACGGTGCCGGCAGGGGCGATCGGGCGCCCCAATTGCCACCGTGACGTGCACCAGGACGGTGACGCCACGGGAAAGTAGACGATAAATAAAACTCTGCTTTGAAGCAGAAGTAGTTTCGGTTTTTAAGTGTCTGTTGTAAGACCGGGTCTGACTGATTTGTGTGTGAGCATAAATATCGG